GCCTTTTCACCCCCCGCATCCCCCCCCCCCCGCCGTCATTTGAATGGGAACTGAAGATATTCCTGAATTCACAGCAATTAACTAACCACACGGATGCAAAAATGTATTTACCGCTGGGATGGATAACCCAGTTCTGGAGCAGCATGAGCCAGCACCGTGGGGAGATGGGCTGCAGCGGTGGGGGCACACATTTCAGGCTGTGTAGGCTTTTGGGTTGTCCCGTGTTGTTATTTCCATCCTTTGGCTTTGTCATTTGCAGGCGGTATCCAGAGAATTCCCACAAAGCCTTGAAGTCATTCCCTAAAGTTCGTGCGGATGGCTTAGAAATAGGAATTTTTGGTTGTTCCAGTGTGGAAGCAGACGTAGCAGAGCTGGTAAGGACAACGAAGAAAATTCTTCTTTCATTGTATCAAACACAGAACAGCTGGAGTCCGCTCAGCTTTTGCCTGCATAAAGCAGAGCGTGGTATCAAGATCTCCGCACCTGCCGTTAATGCCCAGCACATTATCTTACAAAAGAAAAACAATTTCGGGGGGGAAAGAACGTGCCACTGCACAATCTGTAGCCTCTGCCCACTTTACACCATTTTTAAGAGAGAAGTCATAGACATCCCTGAGTTTCTGCTCCAGAAGTCATGCTCTTCAAGTTTGCAACTCTTCCCAGTATTTTTCTTTTTAAAGAAATCAGAGACTTTCTCTACATTTGAAGAATATTTGAAGCACGAAATATTAAAGTTGGTGTAATTCAGTCCGGAGTTACCGTAACCACAGGTAAGACAGAGTCTGTCTGAAGGGTGGGGCTAAGACATCAAATTCAATTCCATCCATTTACTCAAACACTAGGAAATCACTTTTTTTTTTTTCTTTTCTTTGAAGACTGTTGCTTAATTACAGCCAAGTACACTCTTGGGGAAGAAAACGTGAAGAGTATAGAAAAATTATCTGCAGGATTTAACTTCTTCATCTCACCAGCTTGGTCTGGGTGAGGATTACCACCGTACACAAACCACCTTTGAGCGGTGCCCCATTTATAGAAGGGAAATATCTTTAAAGAGTGGGAATGTTGTAATTTTTTGGAGCTTTGTTATTCTACATGTAAAGCAGGGAGGGGAATTGTATATTAAAACCGATTCGTTTTCCATCTGTATTACCATCAACTCACCAAAAGTACAAGCACAAACTCTGGCAGCTGGACTTAAACATGCCAGAGTTTTCAGCATTTATTAGAAAGCTATGACGTGTTCCAGCTTTCAGGAATCCACGCTGGGGGAAATATATTTAGGGTAGATTTTTCAAAACCACTGATTTTACTTTTGACCAGAAAATCGAGCTAAAATTTGGGAAACTCCCAACTTCTAGTTTGTTCTGAGGTGGGACGAAAAGGAGATAAAAGTTTGTCTACGTGTCCCTTGACTGAAAGAATAAAGTCATCGCAGAAACACTATACATAGGTGAAATTCCTCCCATAGGGGTATTTCTACAAACACAAATGTGCTGTTATCAGGATAATTTGTCTTTGCAAATGCACTTGGAGTAACACTTTAGGAGAGCCTACTTGTCATCTGCCTGAAGACTTCCAGAGCCTACTTCCAAAACTGTACTGATGCAGGGAATAGGTATGCAAACTGAGGGCTCACGCTTCAGAGCTTTAAATGAATCAAATTGTTAAGAGTGCTTCACCTTTGACAGGAAGCCTAAGCTACATTTATTTATGAGAAAACTTCAGACGCAAAGGGAGAATTACAAGAGCTCCTCAACTTGAGCATAGCAACACCCCCAGTTACAAACACTTGGCAGAGTTACAAATACTTTATTAGTTTCAGTGTAATAGTCCTCTTACATCGAAATCGGGTAACAGTTACGAAATACCGTATAAAAGGTTGAAATAGGTGTTATTCAAAAGCTCGTAACAGGCGAGATAATTTAAATTCTGGTGCAGAACACAAACCTTCCTGAGGGCTGTATGAAGCCAAATGACCCGGTGCTCTGCTCTAGGAATCTGCGATCCAAGGAAAACCCCTGGGCTGTGAAGGCTTGCACAGGCCTACACATTCGGGTTCCGGGGAGGCTAGGCATCCGAAACCATCACTTACAAATTTATTCCAAGTTCCAGATGTTTGGGTATCCTTTTTTCTTGCTTTCTGAAAGCAATGCTAACTGTACCTGGTACTCCCTCCAGTTCGCAACGGTTCTCTGCGTGCCACAGAAGAGAACAAATTTGGATGCCAGAAACCCTACCATTATTTTTAAGTGCTATCCAACACCATCCTACTTCATGTCTTCATACAGAGCTTGCTAACACTACTATTTTTACTTTTTCATTGGAACTTCTATGGTCATAAAATCCTCGGCTAGTGTGACTTCTTGACCATCTAACGCTGACTCTGCCTGTCTCTTCAGTTCGGTGATGTCCGTATCTCCCTCACCCCTCTGAGCAGCTGGTTTATACCGCTGACTGAAGTGAGTCAAAACCAGTTTCTTAACTTTACACAATTTTGCAAAATCTGATGCCATTTTTGGAGTGCTATGACCATGCTCCCTGGCCTTTGCCTCTTGGGTATCGTCCAGTGTGGCTTCATGTATCAGAACGTCTGCTTCGCTGCAAAGCTTCATGGCCGCATCTCCAACCACCCCTGAACAATCCCCCAAAATGCAAATTTTTCTTCCAGGAATAGGGTCTTCTAGGACGTCTGAAGGAGAAATTGTTACTCCGTTTTCTAGAACGATTGCTGTTCCATTCTTCAGTTTCCCATATAAAGGACCTGGTTGAACTCCTGGTAAATAAAAAGGCAAAAGAGTCCGTAAGTATTACGATGAGTGTCAGGTTTAAAAAAAAAAAATCACTTAAGAAGAGATATGCTGTATACAGAGCTGTCTCACTGAAAAAAATACAACCTCAATATAAATAGCAATGGATATTTCACATTCTTCAAACAAATAAAGAGCTTGTAACGTTAGCAGGAAGTGTGTTTGAAGAAGTGCTATATTCTTCATATGCAAGTCAATAAAGTCATGCAAATGCACCGGCTATACATTTCCCTGAAAGCCATGCTGTGCTTTTTAAACTTTAACATCTGAACTTGTTTGCTCTTCCCAGTATGAGAATGGTCTGCAGTATTAATTGGCACTAGTGTTACACACCAATTCAGACTGCTGCACTGGTGTGAAGTATGAAAATGTCTTTAACAGAAAATGGAAAATTGAATTAAAATGGATGACGGGGAGATACAGCAGCCCTAATTTGCTAGAATGCCTAAAGAGGTGGTCATAAAAAGATTTCAACCGCCTGTGAACCCAATTTTGTTACGTTTGGTGAAAATGGGAGTCGCTACTCAACTTGAACACATGCATTTAAAAAACAAAAAGAGGAAAAATAAATCAAAGTAGTTACCAAGGTCTTTCAGTTTCTGTACGTTGAGTTTACCGGGCCGGGGCTTCTCTTCCACCACAAAGCCAAAGGAAGGAATGCGGTGAAACAGGCGAAATGCTTTCAGAACTAGCTGCTCATCCTCAACCAGCAAGTAAGAGTTTTCTACTGGATCCAGGTGGAGTATTCTCCCTTGTGCTCCCTGGGGAGATAGCTCATCTTTGTCCAAATAAGAAAGCTCTTTAAATTCTTCTGCGGGGCACTGGTCCCGTGTAGGTACCAGTTTGGGAAAGAGAAGTTGTGAGTGGGAGAGCTCCATACTCCTCCATATGTAGTTTCGCAGTCCTAAGGGCCCATAAATATCAACAGGCGGTTTGCGTGGGTCGGGGCTACTTTGGAGGCTAAGCGTACACAGCAGGCCAGGAAGTCCAAAAAAGTGGTCACCGTGAAGATGAGTTATGAAAATCTTGGTAATTCTGCCTATTGATTAGAATAACAGGAAAAGAAAAACAAAACCAGAAAAAGATAGGAAGATAAGCGAATGCCGCAACAACTCAGAAATAATCACTTTTTTGGCAAGAAGTAGGAAATAAGGAAGGAGGGAAATTAAAATAAAACCAGTGTTTAAGAAATAAATCCCAAACCACAAAGTATTTTTTTCCGCAGTAGCGATTTTTTTCCACACAATTTCCACACAAGGTTTATTTTGGCTTGATTTGTCAAGAAAAGACTGCCGAGACAAAAGTTTTAGTTGCTTCTAAGCAAAACGCGCTACAAGCGTGGAACAGAATCGACCGGCGACACCTGCCATAATAAAACGCAAAGAAGTGCTGGAAAGTGGTTGCGCTTTCATACGTTACAGGGAAACTGTCGACTAATGAGAAACATAAAAGTGGAATTTGTGTTGTTCCTAGTTTTGAATCTAGCACATGAAATGAATGCAATTAAAAAACAAGTAAACAAACAACAAAAGCATCCAGTTTTGATTTCAAAGTTTTCTAACAGGCAAGAACCCCACGGTTTCTGACTGGTTTGTTTCGAACAGATGAAAAATTGGACTTAAAGATTTGGGCTTTGTTTTGCATCTGAGTTTGGCTCCCTCCAGCTCTCAGGCACTGGGCCCTGCCTTTGCTAGATTAAAAAGAGCCCAGAATTTTCTCTCACTGCAGACACGTGTACTTTAATCAGGCTGCCTCAGTCTCCTCTGCTAGCCGAGTTCCCACTTCCTCGCGGTAAGGCATTTTCTCCAGCATCTGTTAGGACCGAGCAATAGGAAGGACGGAATCTCTTTGTTCTGATTTAAGAACAACTTAGTAAAAATCAGAAAATTTAGTAAAAATTAGTCTATTCACTTGGTCATTAAATCCCCTGATAGCTTCAGATTTTGCGGGAGCAGAAGGTTGCCTTTCTGTTTATAACTGATAATTCCGTCTTTATAATTTGAGAGTCAGAAGTCTGCTCTTGCCACCGTAGGCTGCAAAAGCACAGTGACTGAAGGTAAGTCTGGTTTCTACTTTATTTGCTAAAACGTAACAAGTTACCACGAATACACACAACTGTACTTGAAAACAAAAGCACAATATTTATCGAGAGGAAGGCTCACGGGAGGTATTGGCTAGAGCTGTCTTCAGACACATACAAACTGCGCCAGTTTAAAGCTGCTCTGTGGTCCACATTTGAAATTACAACGCCCCAGAAATTAATTCAGGAGAGTTTGGGTCTCAAACACAATTCTGTACCAAAGGGCAATCAAGGATTACTGCACAGCAGGTTCAGCAACTGCCACCCATACGCAGCGCCTTCAGATGCTCACGCATGTTTGGTACGTATTCAAATACCATCAGCACGAGGTCAAAGTATTTTGTTTAGATCTCACGGAACTTTTCCCCTTCCCTCATCACAATACCTTTCAACAGCACGAACCTGCTTTGAGATGGCTCTTCATGAATTGTGTTTGAGTTCCCTCTCCGCAGTCGAAGAGCCAGCACTCTCCTTCCCTGCGAAGCACTAACGCCGATGCTCCTCTTGTTGGAGAGGGATACGCTGAGCCTGTGCCGAGGAAAGTTATATCCATCGACATTTTGAATACGTCGGTATGCCACCTGAAAGAGAGATTTTGAGCCACTGAACATACATATTTATGCTGGGAAAGAAACAAAACATTTTCTGCTTTAAATGAAGGCATCCTCTGTACTTCAGTGTGAGAAGCAAATTCCCCTTCCCTTAAAAAATAAAAATAAAACCTCCCTGGAGTAGGATAGGACTTTCAGACAACACAATATTTACAAGCAGCAAGGTTTCCTTTTTATGTCAGTGGAAGGTCGCAAACACACAGCCCAAATGTAAGATGCGCGACCTTTGTTCATTACCTAAAGAAACAGCCCTAGCCAGCTGGAAATGCTCTCATCTTTAAACCCACTATTCTTTCTTCTTCCCCTGAATTTTCCTGCACGGGCTTTCCTCTAAAAGCCTTTTCAGAATGACTGATGCTGAACAGCCACTGCTGATATTTAAATGCTGTTACAGGATGTCAGGGGTGGACCGCCCAGCATCGCAGAGGGGAAAGATTCGCTCCCCTCAAAACCAATTCAGAGACTGCAAGAAGCAGGAGCAACCTGATTTACTTTGCCGTTGTGACGGCATCCTTGAAAGCGATCAATGTTTTTACTTCTCATCAGTGTTAAGTGAAAAATTAAACCCTACCAAATCTTATGCAGTGCAAAGGCTGTGTGACAGATCAAGGGACACCTACTGCAGAAGAAGGATCAATGCGATCAGCTGCCATACCCCAGCTCTTTCTGTATCTGCTGTACTGTCCGGATGAGGAGCCCGGCCAGTCCGTAGGAGCAGGACAACCTTCCGAAAGCTGCGTTAGAATCATAGAACAGAATCACAGAATGGTTTAGGTTGGAAAAGACCTTTAAGATCATCCAGTCCAACCATTAACCTAACACTACCAAGTCCACCACTAAAACAATTCAGGGGAGAGTCATAATTAATTTCATGTTTCCTGGCTTGGTGGCTGGATTATTTTTTAATGAAAGTGAAACTAGGAATCACTAAGGTTGGAAAGGCCCTCTAAGATCATAGAATCATGGAATGGTTTGGGTGGGAAGGGACCTTTAGAGGCCATCCAGCCCAACCCCCTGCCATGGGCAGGGACATCTTCAACTGGGTCAGGGTGCTCAGAGCCCCGTCCAACCTGGTCTTGAGTGTTTCCAGGGATGGGGCATCTCCCACCTCTCTGGGCAACCTGTGCCAGTGCCTCACCACCCTTGTTGTAAAAAACTTCTAATGTCTAGTCTAAATCTATTCTTCTTTAGTTTAAATCTGTTATTCCTTGTCCTGTCACAACAGGCCTTGTTAAAAAGGTTCTCCCCATCTTTCCTGTAGGCCCCCTTTAAGTCCAACCACCAACCCAACACCCCCATGCCCACTAAACCGAGAGTCGTAATTCCATGTTTCCTGGCTTGGTGGCTGGATTTATTTTTA